GGGTTCACCCACAGCCAAACTCGAGCGAAAAAAGAGATCCAGGCCCGACCGGATTTAATTCGGTGCAAACCCAGAGTCCTCGAGGCGACACCCCTACACTCGGTGTCGCGGATTCTCTCAAGAGACTCAACATTGCGAACGCCTCATCCATCACACCTGAGAGCGCGGGGCTGTCATCAGGCGGTATCCCGCAAGTCGATCAAGGAGCAGCTCAGGGAAAGAAGCGCCGCCAACGACGGCCGGGAAATCCCAAAAACGGAGAGGATAGCGAAGCCGCTTCGCAAACATCCAAGGCGGCAGGAAAAGGCAAAGGGTGGAGACAGACGCCTATCCTCCAGAGCACATCGTCATTCCAGCCGTTCAACTCGCTTAAGAAGTCTAAGGGACGACAGGTGAACGATAATGGGTGGGCTTCGGAGGATGTCACGGACGTTCAGGAGGCGGGAGACTTCGACTTTGAAGGCGGCTTAGCCAAATTTGACAAGCATAATCTGTTTGAGCAGATGAGAAAAGACGATCAAATCGACGAGTCGGAACGCCTAGTATCACACAACAGACAGCCTCGTCCGAAGCCAGGCACTGGTGGAGGAAAGAACTACCACCATTCTGAGAATGTCTTGGAATCGACAACGCCGACGACCTTGAAGCCGAATCGGGAGAAGGTTGCCAAGGAGCCAGCGAACGATTTCTGGAACAGTGAGGCCGACGACGGCGCACTCAACGGCGGCGAGCGGCTCAGCGGCAGAGAGCCGGGGATGGGCAGCAGGCAGAGCTCTCGGCGTGGTGAGAGCAAGGTTTCCACGACCAGACGGTCTCAGTCACGGAAGGCCAGCGCGGCGACAGCTGGACAGGTGATGAATAGGGTCAACTCTGGTGTAAGCCATTACCGCACCCAGTCACTTAAGGGAAGCCGGCCTAGTAGCCGGCTTTCTACAAATGCTGCCATTGACAAGCAGAAACAGCTTGCGACACCTGCAGTTTCGCAGGGACTGTATCTTGTCCCGTCCAACCGTCGTGTCGAGCCGGTCTCAGCACTCCAGATGCTTAACTTGGAGAACATTGCACATAACGACATCGGCCTCACGGAGGAGATGATGACGGAGAACGCAGGCCGGGGTATCGCGGAGGTGACACTGACTGCTCTTGCTGACCCAGCAATCAAAGTGCGACATGCCGGGACCGTGGACCCAACCTCGGGCAACCCGCCACCACAGACGGTGGTGGTACTCGCTGGAAACAACAAGTCGGGCATGCGAGCGGTCGCTGCGGCACGCCACATGCGCAACCGAGGTCTTAACGTCATTGTGTGCGTTGTTGGGCTTGAGCGCGGCGAAAGGGAGCTGCTGGAGGACATGAGGCAACAAGTCCGGCTTTACAAGAATCTCGGCGGTCGAGTATTTGCAAAGGCCGATTTTTTCGAGCATATACGCAAGATTAGCATCCCCATGTTGACTATCGACACGCCTAGGTCGGCATTGAGCAGTCTGGCAAACCCTGCTCCTGTCATGCTCATTGTGGACGCTTTGCTTGGTTTAGCCATCTCATTCGAGGAGCTGAGGAGCAGCGACCAGGCGACAGTTTACGAGCTGATCGCATGGGCCAATCGCAATGAAGCGTTTGCTCTTGCGGTGGACATACCAACAGGAATTGATCCATCGTCGGGCAAGGTCAACGTGATTGACGGGAACCGGCTTTATGTCAAGCCCCGGTTTGTGGTGGCGGTTGGGGCGCCGAAGAGAGGACTGCTGGAGGCCATGGTGGCAGCGGATAATGACGATGGCGAGACAGTGCTGCCGCCAGGCGAGGGAGAGGCATTGCCAGACGACGGGGCGACAGAGTGGAAACTCTTCCTGACCGACATAGGGCTGGGACCGGCGGTTTGGAAGAAGGCGGGAGCCAAGATGCGGAAGGGGATTGACTTTGATGAGAAGTGGGTTTTGGAGATGCGCTACCAGGGCATTGGGACGGAAGCGGAGGATGACTGAGGGAGGCACGACCTCTACTTTAGTGGAAGAGACGAAATGCATTTTGCGGCGATGATGGACTAATTTGCATTCGAGGCGTTTTCATGAGCGATGGGAGGTTTGCACTTGAGGGCTTTGTTTGGAGTTTTGTAGCATTAGACTGAGAGCACAGCAAGTCTCGAGACTTTTTCGGTATTTACGACTAGACAGCGACACGAGATACCAAAATTCAGAGATCATGATGCAGCACTACTGTGGATGATGTGCCGGGAACAGGCGGGAACTTTCAGGAACACCAGCTGAGCCTCGCTTGGATCGCGGTTCGTTCAGGGGTAAGTTTAGAAGGCTTGATTCCCCGCTGGAGTGACGTTGGGGGAGGCAGGGGCGCGCAAGGGGTGACGTCACCACTCACGGGCGCCGTATGTTTTTGCGAGTGGCCGATAAAGATGGTAAGGCACGGCGTTTCGGTGATGCGGCATGATTCAGCGACTTACCCAGCATTTGGAATTTCGGGGTTCGTAGTAATCCTACGGAGTTTGTGTTATTCAGAGTGTTCCTCAATTCCCACTGTTTTTTTATTTTATTTTTACGAGAGCAACAGCCGCGGAAGGAGCCAGTCACTATTGGGTGACGCCAGCGCATTTGTTCAACTCGCACTACACCAACTAATCGCCCATCTGATCTTCCCCCAAGACAAACGAAAGAATTGGGGTTTGGAACGAGTGCGGGAAAAAGAAGATCACCGGAGTCCCGTTGTTCAAGTTCTATCTGAGAAACTACACCCTGTTGGAACAACACTACCAAACACGAGAAAACCCACGACAGGCGATTTTCCTAGAGCGTTCGAAAAAACACAGAAGGGAAAGGGAGAAAACAAAAAAAAAAGGAGAGAGAAGAATGGCCCACCACGAACCCTTCAAATCCCTGTCTCCCCTCGCGTGGTCGACCATCCTCTCGGAGCCGCCCGCCGATCTCCTCCGGGAAACATTTGGCAACGCCCAACTCCTTGTCGACTCGATCCCTTCACCAGACTCGCCTACAAAAACAGGCCGTCCCCGCTCCGAAACCGACTCAGCTGCGTTATCCTCTGGGCACACCCGTGACAAAGGCCCGTCCTCCCATCGCGACCGCGCCAACACAGACCCAGCAATAACCGCCACCCTCCGCAAGGAATGGAAACCGGTCAAGATCTCCGCAAAAGAAAACACGCTCGGTATCGATGTCTACAAACTCGCTGCCAAAGACGGCAAAGGCTCGTGGTTTGCAAGGCGGAGTGTCCATGCTGTGGATTTTGACAAGATGGTGCTGGGACTGAAACGCGAGTTTGCTGAGACGTCGAGTGTACTCTCATCGGGAGGGGGAGAAACAAAAAGTGTAAGGGGCTTGGGCGCGGAAAAGAGGGTTGAGAGGATGGCGGTTGAGGGGGTGGGCGTGATTGAGGTGTATCTGGTCAGTGTACGGTTTCCGGGGCCGACGACGCCGAGGGATTTTGTTACGGTGATTTCGCAGCGCGAGGGTGGACGAGAAAGGGAGTTTATGTTGGTTAGTAGGCCTTGTTTGCATGAGGGGTGTGAGGCGAGGAATGGGTTTATCAGGGGCACGTATGAGAGTGTGGAGCTTGTGAGGGAGAGGAGGAGGGTTAGTGGACGGAGGACGAGGAGTAGCGTGGATTTGGGGAGGGAGGTGGTCGACGCCATTAAAGGACGGAGCTCGGTTTCTTTTGATGGTATTGAGGATGCGCGCGAGGAGGATAGGGAGATGGAGACTGAGGTTGAGTGGTTGATGGTTACGAGATCGGATCCTGGGGGAAGCGTGCCTAGATTTATGGTGGAGAAGGGCACGCCGGGTGGAATTGTTAGTGATGCGGCGAGGTTTTTGAAGTGGTTGGAGTCTAAGAGCGTTAAGGAGTTGGAAGAGGCTGAGGATGCTGGGGTTGGTGATTTGGGACAGCCGGACGAGGTGAGGATTGCAGAAGGAGCGGAGGTTGCTGGGACGGTCAAGGCGGATCGACGTCAGCAAAATGCCTCGGAGTCTACTGTTCGGGCTCCTGTGAAACACCAGGTTGATGGTCACAGGGACGACGAGGTACTGGCTCCCAGCGGCTTCTACGGTATGATTGCTGGAGCGCTCGAGGCTGCCGGGTCCATTGTCGTCAGTCGTATGTCATCGCTCGCCAGCTCGACAAGGACCGACTCGTCACTGGACGAGGAAAACGACACCTCGTCTGAACTTGACTATGCCTCGGCCGAGGAGTTTGGTGAAGATTCTCTCGTTGCATCGGCAACCAAGGACATCAAGAACAACCAATCTCTGCCGGACCTGACCTCTTCAGCTCGGTCGGCGCACTCGACCATGACGGATGAGTCCGTACCGACCGGAACAGCGCCTAGCATAACATCAGCCACCAATGCCATTGATAAACAACACGGCAAGGAACTGCGTCGTCTTCAGGAAAAGCAGCGTCGCGCAAACGAAAAGATGATTAAGAATCAGGAGCGTCTGGCTCGCAAGCGCGGAGACAGTAAGGACAGCATCGAGCTGCAAGAAACTGCGCTGGCCAAGCTGCGGGAGAAACACGAGAGAGAAAAGGCCAAGCAGGAAGAGAAGCATCAAAAGGAGCTCAAGAGGCTCGAAGAGAAGCGCGAGGCTGAGAGGCGCAAGGCAGAGGAGAGAAAGCGCAAAGCGGTTGAGCGCGAGGAGAAACAAAACTTACAGATGGAGTTGGAGAAGGCTAGGGCCGAAAGGGACGTGGCGTTGAGGGAGATTGAGATTCTCAAGGGGCAGGTTGGGGCACTGCAGAGCCAGAATACCATGCTTGTTGCGAGGTTGGGGAAGGAGTGACACTTGGAGTCGTAAGCATTGGCGGGGTCTTGTTTGGTAGCCCCTGAATTGGGTCAATGTTAGAATACGCATGGGTGGATGTTGCATTTTCTCATTGAGCGTAAAGAAATGATACGTAAAGAGCGTAATGAACATTCGTATGATTGAAACATGGTGAAGTTGTTAATGTAGATGTGGAAAAAATGCAAAAATAAATGCCCAATAACAGGATTGAACTGTTGACCTTCGCATACCATATAATCTGGTGAGGATTATTAGTACGACGCTCTAACCAGCTGAGCTAATCGGGCTTTACAGTGGAGCTTGTTGTAGAGACGGTTCGGAAAGTGTCATTACGACGGTCGGGGCTGCGCGGCACAGTGAAGCGAACTGGGATCCTTTTCTTTCTCCTGCTATTCCCTATTCCCCCTTGGAGGTCACAGAAAACAAGTTACCAGCACTTTTTATCCATCGTTATATACTGGAAGGTGTTGTCTCTCTAGCGGGCATGAAGAAAGTAATGTTGTGTCTCTCAATCTACTCGAGCTTGACCTGTCTTTCGGCCGTATGCGTGCCAGCGATCCCTCTTAGATGTCTATTCTCTTCAGCACTCTCATTGAAGTGACCGCAAACGGCTACTCGTCTCCCGCTTTACTTCTTATGCCAGGGCCCCATTTCCATGTTTATCTTCTCCACAAACGAATCCATCTCAACAAATACAGTGCAGACAGGAGCCCCAACTCAAGCGATCGTCCGGGTACAATACATACGTGTACTTTTTCGTTCCCTCTCACGTACTTTCTCGATGGCAGCGGGAGACCCCGTCATTCACTCGAGACCTCCTGCTGCACCTGGGACAGGCGTCCAAGCACACTTTATAGTTGGACCGCACCTTGTATCCATGCCTTGTCCCCATGGGAATGCCAAATGGCAAAAGCCGCAACCCCCAAACCACCAACAACAACCAGACCCCTTACGTGGAGCCAGCCTTTCAAGACCAAAACAACACCATTCCCCTCCCATTCGCTTTTCAAAACCCAATTTCCATTACAGTTCTTGTCGCCATTACCCAACACATACACACACACACACACACACACACAAAGTTGTGCATCCCAACCTCCAACCTCCAATCTCTAAACCCCGACCCCAAACCTGGAACCGCAAAGCCATCACCACCGCCACCACCACCACCACCACCATCACCATCACCATCACCATCACCACTGGCACAGGCATAACCACAAAAACTGGAACATCACAACATCAACAAACAAGGGCGTGTGGCTCAGTTGGTAGAGCGTTCGCTTAGCATCTCCTGGATGCGAAAGGTCCTGGGTTCGATTCCCAGCTCGTCCAATGTATACGAGTCATGAGTACTCGTGCCATTGCTTTTTGCTCTCCTCTTCACCCATGACGTGGAGTTGTTTCGTTGTTTGGGGGACTTGGGAGGGAGACGACTCAGATGGGAGCTGACTTAACATTGCGGGAATTGATGGATGTAAATGGTCCATCAACTAATGTGTGTGAATTTGAAGCGATATGATGCCAACTGAACCGTTCTTTTCGTTTCACATTGCCCCCGTTCTATTTTATTTTCCTTTTCTTTTTGCGTGAAGGGGCCGCACCTGGTTAGTGCCTACCAAGGTGTTGAGGGTGACCGAAGAGCGATGAGACAAGGCAAAGAGTTCACCAGAGGGAGCGACTTCTTTGGTTTGATATGTTTATTTGTTTATTTCTTTTCTTCTTGGCACCCCCATGTATACAGTTACTTTAACAGCTCCTCCAGCGAGCTCTTTGTCGTGGCTGATCCAAGCCAACCAAGTATGTACCGAAGTTTACATATATACCGCACCAGCCCGCTCAATCTTGGTACTCTGCCCCTGCCTCCCCAGTATTGAGCCTAACCGAAACCGTCATCTCGTCATCGCCCGCCGTCCCTTGCTTCCTCTCGGGATAGGCTAAGGCCTGGGGATAAACAAATCCCCCAACACACAATGAAATGCCTCTTGTTTGCCCTGGTGTGGTGTGTGTATTGTTTATCCTGTCCCCTTTGAAAGCCGACCATATACCTTTTCAACTCCCTTTTTTCCCAGCCAACCGACCGTCTTAAATTCCCAAACACCGATGCCGTCAACCCAGGATACACATAGGAAACGTAGTGCGCGTCGTTGCGCAAATGAGGGGCCCCTTAGCGGTTTATATATGGCTTGTCAAAACATGAAATACAACAGTTCCTCATACAGTGAAATGACACGCGAGGACGAAATCACTCGACCTCGGAGAGCGGTGCTTCTCAGATCCGCGGGCCGCTAAGATGGGCCGACGGGAAGAGAGCATATTGGTTTGGCGGAGGCGGAGTGCTGAGGCTGGTGGTCCTCGCACGCTGTCTCCGTGTCTGGATCGAGTCCTTGCGTCGGGGCTCGTCCAGGGCGAGCCGCACTAGGTTGGACTCGCTGCTGCGGCTGCTAAAGTCCCTGCGGGGCTCGCTCACTTGGGGTGGCAGCTCCTCCGACTCGGGCAGGGTGGGCATGGCGCCTTTGCTCTCGACTCGGATGTGGGTCTCGAAGGCAGGGAATGGCTCCGACTTTGGGGCGTACGTCTCCATATCGAGCGACCCGGTGCTTGCCGTCAAGCGCGTAAAGTCAGTCGCCGACGACGCTGCCGAGATGTGCTTCTCGAAGCCCGAGTGGGCGCTCTCAAGGGTGCCCGTGGTGGAGGCGCTGGTGCGGTACTGCATCTGCAGCACCGATGAGTCAAACGCAAAGCTTGGCTCATCGAACGGGTGGAATGCGAACTCGCGCGCATCCGCCTCGGCCGCCAGCATCTGCTGCTGGTAGTCGTTGGGGATGAGCAGCGACGGCGACAGCGTAAAGCCGTGTGACTCCTTGAAGCTGGAGGCATCAGACGGCTTTCGCACGTGGAGGTGCTGGAGAGAGTTGGCTGCTTCGGACCGTGGCAGCGAGAAGTTGGACGCCTTGGGAACGGCCAGAGTGGGCGTGATGGCCTCGTGCACCGTGGTTGTTGACACCTGGCTTACCGGGCTGAGAGCCGGCACGTCAAACTGGGCTGGGGTAAGCATGGCCGGCGACACCTCACATGAAGGGATGTTGCGGAATTGGTCTTCCACGGGCGTTGTGCTCTCGCAATCCCGGCTGATGTCGAGCGAGGGTCGGTCCCACGCAAAATCGCAGTCAGCTTCGGCTTCGTGATCGTAGCAATAGTCAATATCATCCTCCCACGACTCCCGAGTCAATGACCCGGTCCGGCTGTTGTCAACCAGGGCAGCTCTGAGGGCCCGCTGGGCCGCAAGCATGTCGAACCGCCCGAGCGTGTCTGATGCATTGCTGCCCGGCCGCTTGGGGTTTTCATCTTGGGGTGAGGTTAGCGGCCTGAGCATTGGGACCGACTGGCTCCCACGGAGAGACGAGTTGCTAGTCAAGCTTGCCCTCATGCTGGCTCGTGACCGCCTCATGGCCGCCACGTTCTCATCCTCCTCCGGCACGTCGGGCAGAGATGCGTCGAACGAAGGGCTGGTAGGCAGCGGCCAGTTCCCATCATCCGGGAAGCTCTCCCTGCGTAGCTGGCCGTCCTCTGGGATCATGTCCATGTCGGGACCGGGAAAGTAGCCATGCGACGTGGCTGGCGGGCTGGTGGCGTTTGGCGACAGGGCGAACGGGTGGGCATGGCGGAATCCGCTGCTAGTTTGCGGCCTGTCATTCACGAACGCAGCACCCAGAGAATCGAAGCCGTCGGGGCGAATCGATGCACGGCTGGAGATCCGTGGTGGGGGCACCGGTGGGTTCGGAATAAGAGTCATGGCCGGATCGACCGGAGACCGCGGCGGGCGCGGAGGCGGTATCCGCAACTGTTCCTGCGATTGTGCATGCTTGAGAAGTCGCCTCCCGGGTGAAAGCTGCTTAGAAACGAGCGATGGCGGCCTGCTCGCGGCCAGCCTGACGTGCGAGTCCATGTCGTCCTCCCGCTCCTGTTCCTCGCGAAGGGGAAGAAAGTCAGATGAGAAGTCGGCGAAGTGCAGGTCGTCTGCCCGGATGCCCTTGAGTGCACCCGCTGCAGGGATCTGCGAAGCGCGCATGTGTGAGAACTCGGACGCGAGCGCGATGCGATCCGTCCGCTGGAGGTCCGGGAGGTGGTCCTTTTGTGTATGTGCTACATGCTGAAAGTTGTAAGGTCCTGAGATGTTGAACTTGCGTCGCACGGCACCCTCGTCCACATTGTCGAGGGTTGCTGTTCGGCGCCGGCCAAAAATGGCCGGCACTACTGAGTCCCGGATTGGTGCTGATGTTGGCGGTGGTGAGAGTATAGAGTCCGCGTCACCTGAGTACAACGAGCTGCCGGCCGACGATGTTGGAGCACTAGGCGCGCTGTCTCCCCGCTTGAGCTTGGTTCTGCGCGTGAAAAGTGACTTGCCAAAGATCTGGACGCTGTCGGGGCGCTCCCGTGACGGCATGCTGCCGGTGACTGATCTCCCCGACGACTTTCTCGAGAGACTCAACCCGTCCAACGTGTTCTCCCACGACGGTCGATCCACCGAGCCCAGTGACCGCAATGAAGATGATCCGGATGACGTCGTGTGGTGGCTCTGGTGCTTGTCCCTTCCTGACTGCTTCATCTGGTTGCTCAGCGCCCGGAGACTCTCTGGCGACGGCGGGCCATCGACGGCGGGCTCCAACAGGCCTCTGATGCTTTCCGAGTCGTGGTGCAGCGTGTCCGAGGTGATAGGTCTGAGTGCCACGGCTGCTGATGAGTTTGACCGGCCGCGGCCCAGCGAGTACTTGGACTTTTTCTCAGGCTTGCGTCGCGTGTCCCGGTCGGCCGAGTACACGGGCAGCTCGGAGATCGCCCACATATTCATCTTGAATATCTAACGTGTCCTCGTCCGTTCAGGTGTGACCGTGGTTGGCGGGCCCTGTCCACGCTTCCTTGGACAGATCGACGGGCAACCAGCGGGCGATGGGGTGGGTCGGTGACACCTGGCGTGTCAGTCTATCCGGCGTTGAGTCCTCCAGGATGCCTTGGGATGTCGCCCTGGTGCTGGCAGGTTGATGGGCGACGGCGGAGGACCAACGACAGGGCCTACGGGGACGGGATGTGTTGAATTGCAAAACAATGCAATATAACAGTTGTCAAGAGATTATTTTGGTTCTTAGGTCAAGGGAAACCTCGCAACTGTGGGGGATGGGAACGGATTCCGGGGTCCATATATTGTCCCAGCGTGATTTCCCATCCTTGCCCTTCTCAATGCGGACGCACACACCCAGACGAGGAGGCAGCAAGCCAGGACTCCAAC